ATTTAAGTGGCTATATTCGCCTATGCTCTGACATAGGCTCAGCTTATCAGCAAGGCTTGGCCATGGCGGCTGCCATGCAAGGTTTTACAGTTAAGCAGTTTCTGGCACAGCAACAAGGGAAAGGGAAATGTTTTAATTGTGGGGAAATAGGACATTTCGCTCGAAACTGCAAAGGAAAAAGGGATTCTACACCCAGTACCAAACCAGCCCCTGGGTTATGTCCTCGCTGTAAAAGGGGATATCACTGGGCTAATGAATGTAAATCAAAGAAAGATATACAAGGGAATCCATTGCCTCCGCTTCAGGGAAACGGGAAGCGGGGCCAGCCCCAGGCCCCAAAACCCAAACAAATCTATGGGGCAATGAGTTTTGTTCCTCCAAACAACAACAACAATCCATTTCAGACCTCTGCCGAGCCACAACAGGGAGTGCAGGATTGGACCTCTGTTCCTCCGCCTACTCAGTATTAACCCCTGAAATGGGAGTTCAGGCATTATCAACAGGAATTTATGGACCTCTGCCTGAAAACACTTTTGGGCTCATTCTAGGTCGTAGCAGTGTTATATTGCAAGGGCTACAAGTGTTTCCAGGAGTAATTGATAATGATTATACTGGAGAGATTAAGGTTATGGTTGCCTCTCCTCGAAACATCAATACCATTAATTCTGGCCAGCGCTTTGCTCAACTCCTGCTTTTACCTATGTTGCCCACTACTAACAAGGTTGTTGGAGGACAAAGAGGATCTGGAGGGTTTGGATCGTCCAATGTTTATTGGGCTGAGACCATCACTCCTCAAAAACCTATAATGACCCTATGGTTAGATGGAAAGGAATTTTCTGGGCTCATTGATACAGGTGCGGATGTAACTATAATTAAGAAAGAATGTTGGCCGTCCTCCTGGCCATTAGAAGAAACTCTTACTCACTTAAAAGGTATTGGACAAAGCACCAAACCAGAGAGAAGTTCCAAACTCCTAACTTGGAAGAATTCAGAAGGCCATCAGGGAACCGTCCAGCCATTTGTCATAGCAGGCCTTCCTATTAATCTTTGGGGTCGTGATCTATTATCTCAAATGGGAATGATCATGGGAAGTCCAAACACTGTTATTACGGCTCAAATGTTAAATCAAGGACATGTACCAGGAAGGGGTCTGGGTAAAGTCAGCCAAGGCATAATCGAACCTTTAATCCCTACAGGAAACACTCAGAGAACAGGATTAGGGTATTTCTCCTAGGGGCTGCTGATTCTCCTGTAACTCATGCAGACAAAATAAGTTGGTTATCCGATAGTCCTGTGCGGGTTGATCAGTGGCCTCTGAGTGCTGAAAAATTGCAGGCTGCACATCAATTGGTACAGGAGCAGTTGGCAGCTGGACATATAACAGAAAGTAATTCCCCATGGAATACTCCTATATTTGTCATCAAGAAAAAATCAGGAAAATGGAGGTTGATACAAGACTTAAGGGCTGTTAACAAGACTATGGTTCTGATGGGAGCGCTACAACCAGGCCTCCCTTCCCCAGCAGCCATCCCTTTGGGATATTATAAGATAATAATAGACTTAAAGGATTGTTTTTTCACTATACCTTTAAGTCTCAAAAGGTATAGTGATCAAAAAAGATTTGCATTTAGTTTACCATCTATTAATTTCAAAGAACCTATGAAAAGATATCAATGGAAAGTTCTCCCCCAAGGCATGGCTAATAGCCCTACCCTATGCCAGTCATTTGTTGCTACTGCCCTTCAACAAGTCAGGAATGATTGGGCACAGATGTATATTATTCATTACATGGATGATATCCTCATTGCAGGTGAACAGGAATCTCAGGTTCAGCGATGTTTTGCGGAAATGCAAAAGGCCTTACAATTCTATGGCTTAATTGTCGCCCCTGAAAAAGTGCAAGTAACTGACCCATATACATATTTAGGATTTCAGCTACAAGGAACTCGTATTTCATCCCAAAAAATAGAATTACGATTAGACAAATTACATACACTCAATGATTTCCAAAAGTTACTCGGGGATATTAATTGGCTAGTTCCCTATTTGAAACTTAGTAAATACGAATTGAGACCTCTGTATGACATCTTACAGGGAGATACTGACCCTAACTCCCCTAGACAACTTACCCCAGATGCACGGCAGTCATTGAAAATAGTAGAACAGGCCATACAAAATCAGGGTACCACATTTATAGATTATAGACAGCCATTAAAGTTTATAATCTGTGCTACTAAACAATCTCCTACAGCCGTATTTTGGCAGACATCTCCGCTGCTATGGCTTCATTTACCTGCATCCCCAAAAAGGGTCTTGGAACCCTATTATGTAGCTATCTCACAACTAATAATGATGGGAAGAAATCAAGGAAAATGTTATTTTGGAAAGGAACCCAATGAAATAATTTTACCCTATACCCATCAACAGATTGATTGACTAATGCAAAATACTGAAGCATGGCCCATTTCTTTAGCCTCATACTGTGGGCAACTTGATAATCACTACCCGCCTAATAAGCTTTTAGATTTTGCTAACCGACATGAATTTATCTTCCCTGTCAAAACATCTCATAAGCCTCTAACTAATGCTTTATTAGTGTTTACCGACGGGTCCTCTAATGGGACTGCAGCCTATGTTGTTGGTGACTCGGTAACTCAATTCCATACACAGTGCTCATCTGCTCAACTTATAGAATTACAAGCCGTAATTGCAGTTTTTGCCACATTTCCTGATCAAGCTTTAAATATATATACAGACAGTGCCTATATTGCACAATCAGTTCCACTACTGGAAACAGTAGGACACATTAAAACTGTCTCTACTGCTAGTGACTTATTTAGACAATTGCAGACCTTAATTCACCAAAGACAACAACCATTTTTTATAGGACATTTAAGGGCCCATACTGGTCTCCCTGGCCCATTATCAGAAGGCAATGCAAAAGCTGATGCAGCCACACAAGACTTGTTCCTTGCCATAACACAACAAAAAGGAATTTCTGCAGCTCAGCAGACTCATCAGCTACATCATCTAAATGCCAGAACTTTAAGAATTTTACACAAAATAACTAAAGAACAGGCTAGACAAATAGTTAAAAGTTGCTCTCAGTGTTTACAGAATACCTCTGTGCCCCACCTAGGGGTCAACCCTAGAGGATTAGTACCTAATGCTTTGTGGCAAATGGATGTAACACATTTCCCTGAGTTTGGCAATTTAAAGTATATACATGTCTCCATAGATACATTTAGTGGTTATATTTTTGCCTCTCTACAAACAGGAGAAGCTACAAAACATGTTATTGCACACATGTTAAGTGCCCTTTCTTCTATGGGAAAGCCAGATTCCCTAAAAACAGATAATGGGCCTGGATACACTAGTTCCCGGTTTGCAGATTTTTGTACAAAATTGCACATTAAACATATTACAGGCATCCCTTATAATCCACAGGGACAAGGTATAGTAGAAAGAGCTAATCAAACCATAAAATGCACAATCAATAAAATAAAAAAGGGGGAATGGTACCCTACTAAAGGGACACCCAGAAATTTACTATCTCATACACTATTTATTTTAAATTTTTTAACTTTGGATGCTCAAGGACTTTCCGCAGCACAAAGATTTTGGCAATCCTCCACACAAAAACAATATGCCTCTGTACTGTGGAAAGACCCACTAGATAATTCCTGGCATGGTCCTGACCCTGTTCTAATATGGGGACGAGGGTCGGTTTGTATATATAATAAACAGGCCCAATCTGCACGGTGGTTACCTGAACGCCTTGTTAGGCAAATTAACACATCATAACCCCAGGCCCAGGGTTCTACTGCACCCTGAGGATGGTGTTTTCTCTTTTTAGGGTCAACAATGTTTCTCCTGCTGCTTATCCTGATCACGTGGGCAAGGATTGGAGCCGAGTGGGAAGACAACTTTATCGTTTAATAGAAACCAACATCCAGAAGCTGTATGAACAGGCGAAATGGCTGCACCAGTATAATCAGAAGAAGACAGAAGCTTCCTCCGCCCTTTCTTCCATGTTTAATGGCATATTACCCTATGTCCTCCCTCTCTTAGGCCCTCTCCTAGGCTTGCTCCTTTTACTATCCTTTGGGCCCCTTACTTGGCCTTTCACTGATTGTGTCACTAGGACCCTTCCTCTTCAATAAGGTGATGGCTTTCATCAAGGAGCAGATAGATGCTATTAAGATGCAGTCTATACAGGTCCACCACTATCATAGACTTGAAATGGCCGACAGAGAAGCTCACTCTAGCTGTGAGTCAATAAGCTCAACAACCTCATCACCTTGGTGCGCTGGGCTGGTTAGCCAGAGACCGGCAACTGGAACTCACACGCGTCGCCAACCACCGCCTCAGACAGGAACAAGGCCTTATGCTGCCTTGCTTTCCAATGACGGGTAAGGACAGGTTGGCACCGTGTGCAAGTTTCCTGACCTAAGACAGGCACAGTCCCCTCAAGGTATTATTTCGGCCTTAAAATTAAAGAAAAGGGGGACCTGTGGGAGACATTTTGCATGGCATCCATCTTGTTAAAATCTGCTCTGCCATCACCTTCCCCAAGGCAGGATATCTCTGCCTTCTGCATTTCTTTATCTCTACATTCCATTAAGTAAAATCTGCTCTGCCATCTCCTGCCCCAAGGCAGGATATCTCTGCTTTATCTCTGCATTTTGAGCCATTTACTCAGTCTTTTGTTCCACCCGTGCTTGGGGTGGTTACTCAATAACTATCGCTTGATAACAAATGATCTTGTTTTTCCTGCCCTATATATTGTGTAAATTTTCCCAGAATAAACGAGACTTGATCAGAGCCCTGTCTTGTCTCCATTTCTCGTGTCTCTTGTCCCTCCTCATCCTCACTCCCCCTCTAGAGTCCTCATTGCTCGACCTGCGGGACGGATCACTCCCCCACACGGACTGCTGACTGCTACCTTCATGAATGATGGACTCGAGGGCATGGCGTCTACCTCGCCCCTGCCCGCTCACCTTTGATTGCAGCCCAGTGAAGTGGGGATCGGTCATTCCAGTCCACATCCTTGTAGTTTGGGTCGCAGAGACCTTTCTTCAAAATCTTCTTCACTGCACGGAAGTCCCCGACGGCCACAGCTTGATGGAGCTTCGTCATGTCTGACATTTTGGTCAACTCCATGACAAAAGGGAGCAGCTGTGGGCAAGCAGGACACAGGACATTCTCTACAACCCATTGTTCCTAGTGAAGGGAGGTTCTTTATCCTAAATTCGCAGCCAGGGTGGCCTCAAGGGTGTGCTCTGCGGAGTGTATGTTTAGATCTCAGAGCGTGCCCGTCACCGGTCCGCATCTGCCAGTGGCTCCACTCTGCCTACAGGGCTTCAGGCTAAAGCCATGGGCAGGCATTTGTTGTTATCTGGCCTCAAACCACGTTCCAGGGCTAGAAGTGTGGTTCTGAGCTGATTGTGTAATTCTGAGCCTCATCTGTAGAAGGGGTATAATTTGTCAGGGTTGTCGTGAGGATACAGTGACAGTCCTATAAAAAGTTTATATTGGATACAGAACATGAACTCCCTAGAAATTAAATACTCTTGCTGCATCAATTCAGGAGATAGACAAAATATAAACATACCAATAAAAGGGCTAAAATGATTTACAGCATTGAGACATACACCCACCGTCCTCTAACTATCGTCTATAGGACTGCCTGAGAGTCTCTCAGGAGATCCATGAGGTCAAAACTACTTTCATTATAATATTAAGAGATCATTGGCCTGGACACAGCATGAAAACCGCCCTGATGGGTTTCAGGCCCAGGTGCAGAGCCGGCGCCCGAGCGCAGAAAGGCAGCGGCGGGCAGCGCCCGGACGCGCGGGCAGGGGGCGCCCTCCGCCACCGCACACGCGCAGGGGGAGGCAAAAGCTAGTGTCAGTAAAGAGACGAAAGCGGTAAGGATTATTCGTTTTCATCAAATTTTTACCCTTGCTCACATGCTTTAGTGAAAGGAATCTTAAAATAATGAACTAGATCAACGTTGGGAATGTCTGCGTTACTCCGCGGACCCGTATTTTCTGCAAGACAAGTGCATGATGGCAAAGTCAGGCCGGGGCGAGGAGATCCGTTCAAAACAGGCCAATGGATCCTAGTGGCATGAATTTTAGAGAATGAAAAGCACACAGATCATTTCGGATCCCAACTAACCTTTAAAGTACCATCACTTGTCCAGTTTGGGTGAAGTACCAAAGAAAAATATTTACAATATCTGAAAAAGATATAAAATACTCCTCTTTTCCGACTTCATCAATGCGTGAAACCAGATTTTCTCTACCTACTTCAACCAGGACAACAGCCGAATACAGAAGCAGCTGTGAGAACACAGCTGTCTTCTACGAAGCCACATAGTAACGAGATTTGCCAACAAAGAAAAACAGTGCCCTGTTCCCACATTTTTCATTTTAGAAAAAGAATTACTTTTCATAAAAATACGTGTATTATTATCCATTAGGCTTACGATTTTGGTAAGTAAATTAATGTACTTTTTTTTTCTTAGTTTTCTCAGTTTTAATGTACAACAGGGTAATTATTAATAGCTATAGCCCACATTTAAAAAACCTCCCTCTGGGATTCTCAGTAATTTTTAAGAGTGTAAAGAAGTTCTGAGACCGAAAAGTTTGAGGATCACTGATATAACCAACAAGGGGCTGAGATACAGAAGAATAAAAAAAATGAGGAGAGAGCTCCTTGGGAAGAGGTCGTTAGCAACGTCCCTCTATCTCAACACTGAAGTGAGATCTCAGAAAGTTAGTCAGTCGCACAAATGGTGACCCAGCAGCGGCAGCACCCGGGATACTCTAGAGATGTTAATGATTGGGCCCCAAGTCAGACTTGCTGGATCAGAAAGTGGGGTGGGAGGAGCAATCTGTGTTCTGGTCAGCCTGACGTATGAGGACTGTCCCAGAGGGGAGAGAAGAGGAGGAAGTAACGTAATTCACACGCAATGCCCGATGGTGGTGATTTTCTGGCCACAGAAGGAGAGGACCTTTCGCCAAGACTAGGAAGTAACAGGCACTTCTCTCTGGAAGCGACCTAAGCCGGTCCCGAAGGGTAAGAGTCATCTTGGGCGCTAACGTGTGGAGGATCCCAGCTCAGGCACGTGCTGCAAAGGACAAGCAGCTGCACCTTTAACGTGTGGACCAAGCGTCCATGAACTTCTCTTGAAAAGGCTGGATAAGACATTGTTTAGGCTTTGTAGGCCAAGAGGCAAAACCAAGATGCTTATGTAACAACAAAAAACCCCTACTGCCCTGTTACCAGGGAGGAAGGGTTGGTGGCAGCAGGTGAGCATGCTTTGTGACCACTAGCCTTCAGCCAGAGACAGTCTCAGGGTGAAGGTCAACCTGCCCACGTGGGAGGGGCCTGGCCAGGGCGGTGGTCCCTTTCACTCTGCCCCAGTGGCAACCAGATCCCAGTATGCTCTCTCTCCTCTCCAGGAGCCCGACTGTCACAAATTGACAGCTGGTGGGAGGCAAGGTGACTGGACTATGATTCCACTGCTCAGTGCCCTGTAGTTGACAATAGCAGAGTCCCCAAAGTGCAGGTGGAGACCAGCAGGGCCCTGGGCAGTGGCTAGGCACAGAAGTGGGCTCCGGAGGCAAGTGTTGGGAGCAGAGGAGGACAGGGGCACAGAGAGCGACCTCAGCTGGCTCTCTGAGGCTCACAGCGCTGGCCCAGTGAGCCCCACCTCCACAGGTGGTGACCATGCACCTGCAACATCAGGGAGGGGGCCAGGTTTGGCCTGTGGATTACAGTCACCAACCTCTGGTGCACATAAAGCATCTGGGGTCTTGTTAAAATGCAGATTCGGGTTCCGTAAGACTGCGATGGGGCCTGAGATCCTGCATTTGTAACAAGTCCCCAGAGCGACTGCTATTCACAGAGCACACTTGGAGTAGAATATCGCTCGAGCTACAAGGCAGCAGAGAGACCCGAAGTAAGGAAAAGGCGGTCTGGCTGAATCTCTAGCGGGTGTAAATAACAGATGCGCAGCCTCAGCCCTGAGTGCTTCAGCATCTCTGAGTGTGTAGAACAAGGACGGGCTTTTTGCATGAAGTGCGTGCTCAGTACACATGTTAGGTAACGGAGCACAGGATTTTATCTTTTTGGCTTGTTTGGTTTAGTACAAAACCCTTATACTGGAGCATTCAATCAATGATGAGATAAAATGGTAAACAGAGGGACTAGATAGTTTCTACCCTGCAGGTATCACAGAAAGCCAAACCATTCCCACCCCCTTCCCCCAGCCCCCAGGGCTACTGACTTTTTTTTCTTTTTCTTTATTGATATATTAGAGAGACAGAGGAAGGGAGAGGGAGAGAGAGATGGAAGCATCGATGAGAGAGAACATCGACTGGCCACCTCCTGCATGCCCCACACTGGGGATCAGGCCCACAACCTGGGCATGTGCCCTGACTAGGAATCGAACCAGGGACCTTTTAGTGCATGGGTCAACGCTCAACCACTGAGCCACACCGGCTGGGTGCCAAACCATTTTTATTTTATTTATTTATTTTTTTATCTTCACCTGAGGACATTTTTGCATTTATCTTCAGATAGAGCAGGAGGGAGAGAGGGAGTAAGAGAGAGAGAGAAACATTGATGTGAGAGAGACACATCGAGTGGCTGCCACCCGCATGACCCAACCAGGGCCGGGGACAAACTGCAACCGAGGTATGTGCCCTTAGCAGGAACCGAACCCGGGACTCTCTGGTCCACAGGCTGACGCTCTAACCGCTGAGCCAAACCGGCCAGGGCCGCCAAACCATTTTTAGAGTCAGCGTGTGGAAGCCTCTTTGCTTGCCATTCATGGGAACCTTTAAGCAGGTTTACACCGCAAGGAAGCCCATTTGTTCCACATTTGAGTTCATACCAAGGAAATTCCACCACTTCCCATGTTGCAATTTAAGGAGACGTTCTCAGTGAGAAGGTAGCTAAATTTATTTGCAGAAAAATTGATGAACTGATCCTAAAAACTCATATGGAAGTGAAAGGGACTCAGAAGGGCCAAAGCAATCTTGAAAAAGAAGGGAAAAAGCAGGATTCACACTTCTTGATTTCTAAATTACTACAAAGATACAGCAATCACAATGGTGGGACGAAGTGTGCTGTGTGGCTTAAAGACAGACATACAGAGCAATGGAATAGACGTGAGAGTCCTGAAATAAACCTGTATGTTTATGGTCAATTGATTTTCAACAAAGGTGCCAGGGAAGTTCAATGGGGAATAATTAGTCTCTAAATGGTACTGACTCAACTGGATATCCATATACAAAAGATGCTGGTCCTCTGCCTCATGCCTATTACACAGTTTAATTTAAAATGCATCACAGACCTAAATGTATGTCCTAAAACAACCTGTTAGGAGGAGCCTGGCCAGTGTGGCTCAGTAGTTGAGCATCAACCCAAGAGGTCGCTGATTCGATTCCCGGTCAGGGCACATGCCCAGTGAGGGGCATGCAGGAGGCAGCCAACTGATGTTCTCTCTCATCAATGTTTCTATCCTTTATCCCTCTCCCTTCCTCTCTCTAAAATCAATAAAGAAAAATAAAATAAAATAAACCTGTTAGGAGGAAACAGGAAGGGAACTCTTCCTAACATTGGGCTAGGCAATGGCTCATAGGTGAGTCAACAAAAACACAAGCAACAACAGAAAAAAAAAAAAAAAATTGTATTTCATTAAAATTAAGAACTTTTGTTCTGTAAACAATACCTTTGAGAGAGTATAAAGCAACCACGGAATGGGAGACACTATTTGTAAATCATATATGTGATAAGAAGTTTATATCCAAAATATATAAAGAAGTTACAATTTAACAATAAAAAATAAATAAGTCAATAAAAAATGGCCAAAGAATATAAACAAAAGTTTCTCCAAAACAAATATGCACAGAGCCAATAAGCACATGAGAAGGTTCTCAACATTATTAATCACTAGGGAAATGCAAATTAAAACCGCAATGAAATACCACTCCACACCCACTAGAATAACTATAATTAAAAATGACAAATAATAACAAGTGTTCATAAGGATGTAGAGAAATTGGAACCCTCATATGCTGTGGTAGGAGTATGAAATGGTGCAGCGACTTTGGAAAGCAGTTTGGTAGTTCTTCAAAAGGTTAAACATAGAATTATTATATATGACCAGTAACTCCAATCCTAGATATATACCTAACAAAAGGAGGAGGAGGAGGAGGAGGAGGAGGAGGAGGAGGAGGAGGAGGAGGAGGAGGAGAAGGAGAAGGAGAAGGAGAAGGAGAAGGAGAAGGAGAAGCCGCCGCCCTGGCCAGTTTGGCTCAGCACATAGAGCTTCGGCCCGCAGACCAATACCTCGGTTGCGGTTCATCTCCAGATCTGGTTGGGTCGTGCGGGATGCAACCAGTAAATGTGTCTCTCTCCATTGATGATTCTCTCTCTCCCTCTCCCTCCCTTCCTCCCACTCTATCTGATAATAAATGGAAAAATATCCTCGGGTGAAGATTAAAAACAAACAAAAAACCAAAAAGAAAACATATGTCCACATAAAAGCTTATACATAAATATTTACAGCAGCATCATTCATAAGAGCCCTAAAGTGCTAACAATCCAAATGTCCATGAATGGATGAGTGTATAAATAAAGTGCAGGATATTCATACAGTGGAATATTATTTGACAATAAAAAAAACAAGAATAAGGTGCCGATACATGCGACAACATAAATGAAACTTGAAAACATGCTAAATGCCCTGGCCGATGTGGCTCAGTTGGTTGGCTGTCATCTGTGCACCAAAAGGTTGCTGGTTCGATTCCTGACCAGGGCACATGCCCAGGTTGCAGGCTCCATCCCCAGTGGGGAGCGTGCAGGAGGCAGCCAATGACGTTCTGTTCTCACACTGATGTTTCTCTTTCTCTCTCCCTCTCCCTCTAAAAATCAATAAAAATATTAAAAGAGAGAGAGAGAGAAGAAAACATGCTAAGTGAAAGAAGCCAGTCACAAAAGACCACATACTGTATGATTCCACTTATGTGAAATGTCCAGAGTAGGCAAATCCTTAAAGACAGAATGTTGATCATTGGTTGCCTAGGGCGGGAATGAGGTGGGGTGGGAAGTGACTGCTAAGAAGGACAGATTTCTCTTTGTGGTGATAAAATATACTAAAGTTAAATAATGGAGGGTAATGCTTTTACAACTTTGAGCCCTGGCCAGTATGACTCAGCGGTTGGAGCATTGGCCTGCAGTCCAGAGAGACACGGGTTTGGTTCCCGCTAAGGGCACGTACCTCGGTTGCAGTTTGTCCCCGGCCCTGGTTGGGTCGTGCTAGTGGCAACCACTCGATGTGTCCCTTTCACGTCAATGTTTTTTTCTCTCTCTCTCTCCTTCCCACTCTATCTGAACAAAAAATGGGAAAATGCCCTCGGGTAAGGATAAAAAAAAAGAAAAAGAATACAACTTTGAATACATGAAAAACTACTGAATTGTATATTTTAAGTAGGTAAGTTGTACGGTATGTAAATTATATTTTAATAAGGCTATTTGAAAAAGAAACGATACTTTCTTTAAGAAACACAAATATTTATTTGTAGAAAACACAAACCATTCACCAGCCTACCTCTGACTACTGAAATTCAGTACCTTTTCCTTTACATGAATCCCTGTGTATTTGAGTGTACTTGCATTTCCATCTTCCTGGTACAGAGTTTCAATGTAAAAAAGTAGCCAGTACATATAAGCTCTCATAGATATGAATGATCTACAAAAACTGCAGGAAACAGCTGACGACAAAGCTAATATAAAAATACTTACGATCTTGTTTGAAACTGAGGAGCTCAGTGCAGGCAGAGGCTTAGCTGCCAAAGTCTTGTTGTTTCACACCCTGGAAACTGACCCCTCCTTCCTCCTTGCAGCCTGTCAATCACCCTCCGCTTCACTAGGTGGGGACTGCCTAGCCCAATGGGGACTGGCCCTTGCTTCCATTGAAACTGGTCAGCAATTCCAGTCTGCTTCTGTGTTTTAAGTGTGGACCCTAACATGTTCATTTCGAATAGCATTTAATAATATATATATATATATATATGTATATATATATATATATATATTTTTAGAAACATGAACATTTAAAAAATGGCTGACTATCCACATGACACTGTGGAGTGGTGGGGACAAGGTGGCCCCTCCCTTTCAGAACCAGCTGGGAGCTCTTGGGCAAGGCCCTTAACTTTGCTGAGCCTCTTTTTACTCACCAATAAAATGAAGTTTTACACCTTTCCCTAGGGCTGTGAAAGGTGACTAGCTGAAATAATGTATAGAGCACCTGGCCCAGGGTAGAGGGAAGGAGGGAAGAAAGGAGGAAAACTTTAGGTGTTTTCTCCATCCCTCCCCCCCTCCCCTCCTCCTCCTCCTTCTCTGTCTCCGTCTCCTTCTCCTCCTCCTCCTCTTCCTCCTCCTCCTCCTCCTTCTTCTTCTCTCATTCTTTATTACTTCCTCTTTCTCTTTTCTTTCCCCTTCCTTCCTGCGTGTATTTTTGTTTGTTTTCTTTCTACCTTTCTCCCCACATGTATTTAGTGAATACCTTTTTATCAGCCAGACACTGTACTGGGCCTCGTGGAGAACAAGCCACTCACTGTTCCTCTCTTCTTTGAGCTTAGAGTCCAGAGAAAAAGACAGACAGTAAGTAAACAAATAAATGTATGCATGTCAAATGACAACTTCTGTGCGTGTTGTGAAAAAAAACACGTGCAATGTCAGAGAATATGGGAGAGGAGGGTGATCATGGATGTCCTGAAGTGGCGACATTTGAGCCGAGCACTAGAGGAGCAGATACCTGAGGAGCTAAGGAAGAGGTTCCAGGCAGAGGGAGGGAAACAGCTTGGATTAAGTGAGAAATGAAGAAGAGGAGGATGCAGCTGGTCTGTGGGATGGGGGGGGATTACAAAAGATGAGTTTAGTACAGGCAGACTAGATCATTCCAGGTCTCCTAGGACACAACAAAGATTTTGAATTTTATTCCAAGTACAAGGAGAAGTCACTGAAAAGTTTTAAGCAAGGAACAAGATGGCACAATTTATACATATATTTTAGGGTGACTTTGTTTCTACATAGAGTACAGACTGGAGGGAAAAGCATGATCACTGAGAAGCCTACTGCGATGTCCACACACGAAGAATAGCGGCTGTTGTACTTGGCAGTGGAGATGTAAAGAAATGATTAAAGTTAAGAATTATTTAGGGCCCTGGCCAGGTAGCTCGGTCAGTTAGAGCATCATCCCCATATGCCTAGGTTGTGGGTTCGACCCCTGGTCAGGGCACATATAAGAATCAACCAATGAATGAATGTTGTTCTCAACAGATCGATGTTTCTCTTTCTCTCTCTCCTTTCCTCTCTTTCTAAAATCAATAAATAGAAAAATTTTAAAATAATTATTTAGGAGGGAATGTAACAGGACTTGTCAATAGATTCTACGTGTGCAGTGAAGGAAATGGAGGGATGGAGGATGATCTTTGGGCTTCTGATCTGACAACTTTGGTGTGAAGGCAGTGACATTTGATAGCACAGTGATGACTAGAGGGGGCCAGGTTTGGGTAGCAGAAGGGTAGCTTAAATTAAATGTTCTGTTTTATTTATTTATTCTTTATTGGTTTTAGAGAGAGGAAGGGAGAGGGAGAGAGAACATCTATTGGCGGCCTCCTGCATGACCCCCACTGGGGATTGGGCTCACAACCTGGGCATGTGCCCTGACTGGGAATCAAACCGGCGACCTCTTGGTGCATGGGTCGACACTCAACCACTGAGCCACACCAGCCAGGCTTAAATGTTCTGTTTTAAATGCGTTAAGTTTTGAGGTACCTGTAAGGCAATCAAATATCAAACAAGAGTTCCAAATTCTGTGGCTTTTGGGCTAAAGATACACACTTGGCGTGGTCAGCATATAGGTGGTATTTAAAGGTAGCAGCTCCAGAGGAGAGGGAGAACCAAGGCCTGAGGCTGCCATCATTCAGAGATCTGGTAGCAAAGGATGAATTACCAGTGAAGATTAAGAAGCACTGGCAGGAAACCAGGAGAATACAGCCTCGCAGAAGCTAAAGATTAGGAGGAATAATGGTCAAGCATGTCACGGAGGGCGGAGTTTAATGAATGACTGTGACAGGTGGGAAAAGATTCACAGGAGACCCCATGTCCACCCTCCAAGAGCTCAGGGTCTTATTACACTTTCTATGCATCAGAACATTTCTAGTTCAGCTTGATTTTATTCAACAAATAAATATTTGGTAAGCAACCAGTAAGTGTGGAATGATGGAAGGATCCAAGGACAGAGCCCTACCCTCAGGGAACCCATTATCTAACAAGGGTCCCCTGGGGGACACGGAGCTGTTGTTATCCGAAAACTGCATGTACCTGGGGCCACACCTCCTACATGATTCCTTCCCTAATACACGCGCCCCCCTCCCCCTACTTTTTGAAAGTATACATTACATCACTTTACTCTTATGGAAGACCTACATTAGTTTTTATTTTTACTAACTGACATAAATCCAAAGAGGATTTTCACTTATACAAAAAAAAGGCAAGAGCAGAGAACAGTTCAGTGTTTGTTGGGCAGCAGCTGTAACAGAGGCAGCGAGCGTGGTCCCACCGAGCTCCTTCCCCGCCATCCACACTCAGCATCCCCGCATCGAGCCTCCGGAGCTTCGCGCTGTGCCTGGGAGCATCGTGCTGTATCTTGATTCACTTTGTACATCTGTGAGCAAGCCGAGTCCCGAGGTACCCGAGAAGCCTAAGAAAGCCCGCAAGGGTGTTGTGCTTCGCATAAAACCAGACGTAAATGAGCACATTTGGTATGATTTGGTAGGCTGTTTTGGGGTCTGGGAATGCTCAAAAATTTTCTATATAAATTCATGGTAATTGTGTCTTTGCTTTACACCAGTTCAGCTTACTAAACGTGTCACAGGAAGCTCTAGTTTTGGATAGCAGGAGGAGCCGGTAATAGGTTTCTGGCCCCAATTTCTTGACGGGCTGTGAGCTGGCCAGGAAGTGAGGCAACCAAAGGGAGAAGCCCTCAGGATTTCTCATAAGTCAAGAGTGAGGTGATGAAGAAATGGCTTAAAAGGGTATATTTTGATTTAAATTTTTTTTTCTTTCTTTTTTTTTTATTTTAGAAAGAGAGAAAGGGAGAGGGGGAGAGAGATAGAAACATCAATGAGAGAGAACATCGACTGGCTGCCTCCTGCATGCCCCCCACAGGGGATCAGGCCCACAACCTGGGCATGTGCCCTGACAGGGAATCGAACTGGGACCTCTTGGTGCATGGGTCGAAGCTCAAACACTGAGCAACACTGGCCCGGCTAAAAAAATTTTAAATTTTGACAAGAACAGCACATAAGGCCATATAAAAGTGAGATGAAGATAAATCCTGATCTTCAAAAATATTAATTCTTGTCCAGATAGTGTGGCTTAGTGGACTGAGCGTCGTCCCATGGACTGAGAGGTCCCAGTTCCATTCCCGGTCAGGGCACATGCCTGAGTTGCACATGCCAGTGGGCGGCATGAGGGAGGCAGCTGATCGATGTTTCTCTCTCACATTGATGTTTCTTCTTCTCTCTCTAAAAAATCAATAAAACATATTTACGACAGACAAAAACTCCACAAAAATATTAATTCTTTGTACTCTACAAGTAGTGAATCTGCTAATAGAATACTAAATTTGTGGGCAAATGTTTTTTAATGTTGTCAGTGTGGCCTTGTGGCTGATGAGTAACTTCATCTGGGATTAATATAAAATATCTACCCTCAAGGGTCTCTCACCCAGGTCATGATCGGGGCCACCGAGCAATAAAGGGCACGTCGCTGACCCCTGGTCACATTGACTCAAGCACTGGGACTAAAATTTCTGACCCAGATGACTTCTCTCCTAGAATCAATGCCCTTTTAAAATCAGAGAGGGACTCTGGAAATCGAGTCAAAAATTCCTTTAATATATGAGAATATTGAGACCTACTGCAATGAACTTATTTCATGCAAGTCACACTGCTACTGGGTTTTAATTCATCTCTTACAACCTCTCCCACCCTAGTTAAGCTCAGCTGTCAGAGCTGATGTACAGTGACCACAAGTTCAAGTGTGGGCGGGGCAGCTTTGCCATTCCTGTGCGGATTCACTGCTTACTACTGAGCCCTGCTCAGGACACTGTGAATTGATTCTCCCTCCAATTCTAGAGAAGATGGTAATAACAAGCCCATATGGGCTTTGTTCTCAGTGCTTGAACATATATTAATAAGTCTAATCATGGGGACAAGTACAGGTATTATCCCTACTTTACAGACGAGCAAACTCAGGCACGTGAGAATCAAGTAAGGCCTCAGGTGACACAGCTCGTCACCAGACAGCCCAGGTAGTTTGGTTACAGCGACTGTGGTCTTATCTACCTGCTGCACCACCTCCTGAGACGGGAAGTCAAAGTCGCATGCAACAGCTATGGAAGCTAAGGCTTCCCCACCTGGGAAGGATGCCGTTGCCATTTCAAACCAATACTTGTGAGAGAGGCGATGCAGTGAGCTGGACAGAAGGGTGGCATGGGATCTGGGAGTGGCGAGAAGGAAATGAAATATGTGTTGAATGCCTTTGTGGAGCAGGCATTGTTCTGGGTGCTTTGCGGGTATTCTCTCACCAGCCCTACCTAAGTCGCAGAGATAGACAGCTTACAAGAAGGACGTGGAGGCTCAGAGGGCTCAAGCATGCTCAGACCAGGGCTGTCTACTTCCGCTGAGAGCGGGAGAGCAGGTCGGGTTCCATTTGTGGCTTCCAGTCACTGGTTCTGCCTGTCACATCCCGTCGGGGCTTTCACAG